CCATTTCATTGTTTGCTAGCATATCTATTTTTTCACTGCACTGGATCATATACACTAGATCACTACACTCGGAACATATAGAATGTATGCTTTATTGATTTGACACAGCTTTGATGTTAGTTGATGAGATTTGAGTTGTTTGCTTATACATGATAAATGATATACATTGATTGATACCAAATAATTTTATTTAAAAGACTAAAAGTTGTAACTTATGCGAAGTAGTATAATTTCTATGGCAGTTGCTGAGTATTATCTGTATGTATAATAGACTATTGAAGATTGTAGTATTAAATAAGAAAATCATTTCTATTGTAATCAATTTTTCTTTCTATTCTATTCTTTCTAATTTTAATTTTCCATTATTTTTAATCTTAGCTAATTTTTAAATACTGTGACTTTTTACTAACAGTTTTACATTTTAATCCCAAAAATTCTATGAAAATTAAAAAAAAAAATATATTAAGATTAGAAACCATTTGGCGATAAGTTAAAATCGTTTTAATTATAAGTATAATAGTAGATCTTTTGAACGATGTTAAGGTTTTTTATATTATTACGAATTTTTGAAATATTTTTATTAAATAAAATTTCTACAAATAAAAAAATTAGAACAAAATATTATTCTATTCTTTGTAATTTGTTTATAGATGTGGTGCCCTCCGACTCCGCCCCAGGACGAAAATGATATTTATATTGATTATTCATTATCATTCATGTATGAAATGGATACTATTCCAGATATAGATCTACCACCAATTTATGTCAAACGGGAATACAAACGTTCTCGGGCAGAAGCTGGATTACATGCAGATGGTCGTCGTTCCACAAAAATACGTAAAGAGGATAACTATTATGCACCTCGTTCTCTCTTTGATAAACCTTCTACAGCAATAGCTCGCATTCGACGAGATCTTAAAAGTCAGCGTCATAGAGGAGTTTTTAAACCCAATGTTCAAGTGGCCGGGCTTAAACCTCAAATTACTCCTAAACCGGCATCTGAACCTGATTGTATAGGGGAATGGAGTATTTTAGAAGACTTAACCATTTTAAATGTTTTAGTAAATATACAAGGCTTACCCTGCAATTTAATGGTATTGTCACCTGGTCATACACCCAATTGGGATTTAGTTGCAGAGATTGTTAATAGTTGCACTAGGACACACCGTTCCGCTAAGCAATGCCGTTGGCGTTACGAGACAGTCATACAGCCACGTGAGGAAGGAAAAGCTAGCGACAGTCCAAAGAAACAGAAAAAAATGAAAAATGCTATTAAAGTAGATTATCTCAAAGGTCCACTTCGTTACTTAAGAACTACACAATTATTTATAAATGACAACAATATGTCATTTACTAAAATGATGCGTTCACGATTTGATTGCATTAAGGCTGCATATCTGAAAAAAGCTCCACCTCCAAAACGTCATTTTTCAAACCCAACTACAATGAATCCAAAACATTTAGAAGTTTTGCAAGAACTTGGCGTTACTAGCTACGATCAGCCAATAAGTCCTTTAAATATCGCAGCAATGAAAGTAAATAAATATCGTGAAAAGCAACGTAGTCATTTACCGCCTCCACCTCCACCTACAGCCGCTGGCCAAAGTACGCATCAGCAGCAAGTTACTGTACCTACTCAAACAGCGCAAACAGCGCATACGCAGCAACAGCAACAAATAGCATCAGTGCAGCATCAATTAGTACAAGCCAACCAGCAGCAACAAATACAGGAACTTGTGCAACAGCAAAATGCTGTTACACCTTCAGCGCCTGCGCAGTTGCACACACAGCAGCTTCAAATTCAACACATATCCAATACTGGCATTGCAGGTGGCCAACAGCAATCCACAGCAACTGCAATTGTGCTACAACATGCAGGGAACTTATCACAACAATTACAACAACAAACGTCAATTACTAGCAATACTGTGCAGAATCAAACACAAGTTCTACGTGGCCATTCTGGAGCTGCGCAAATAGTAAAGGCAATTGTAGCTCAACCATCAGGATTAATTGCTACCAGTCAAATGTTGGCACAACAAAATACAACAACAGGAACTCAACATGTACAATTACAATCTGCAAGCGGTGGTAATTTGGTTGGAGCTCCAGCTTCAGTATCTGTAGTGCTCACAACTCCAGTGCAGACAATATCTTCAAATGTGCAACAATCACATCACACCCAACAATCATCCATTGTTTCCAATTCAACGCAAGTTGGAAGCATTGTACAAACTTTGCCGCAATCGATACAACAAGTGGTTCCCGTATCTCAACTAGCAAATGTAGGTACCGTTTTAACTACTTCCTCCAATTTGCAACCGAATGCTGGTACTGTTACTACACTTAATGCTTCCACATTGCGAGCACAACGCATAGTAGCTGCTACGTCTGGTACTTTGCAGGATGTTGTTTTGCAACAGCGTTCAGGTAATCCAAGTCCCACAATAGTTTCGATGCCAAATTTAGGACAGAATGTTACGCCTGCACAATTCCAAGCAGCTCAATTGCGTTTAGCAGCTTCTATGTCGAGTGGTTCGCAACAAGTGGTTGCCAAAAGTATACCAGTGAGTTCCTTACAACAAACTGCTAAACTTACACCAACATCTAGTAGTGGTAACCAGCAAGCACATATACAGCTCTATCGTCAAAGACAAGGAGTTAAAGTACTACAATCTAGTTCTTCACAAGGCACTCAATCAGTCCAAACTGCTGGTGGCCAAACTGCTTTACTCAATGCTGCAGGCACTATTATACAAGGTAATATTATGCAGGCTTCTGCTGTGACAACAGCAGTGCAGGTTCAAGGACAAAAGGTAGCTGTGGCATCGGTACCATCATCCAGTGTTGTCACTACTCCTAGCGGAGGTACCTCTTCCGTGGCAACCGTGCATGTTGCACAAAATACGGGTCGAGCGCAATTTATAAAACATGTTGGTACTGGTAAGCAAGGTGTTAGACAGGTGGGAGAAACCGATATGTTGTTAGTAAAACGACAGGTGATTGGAAGCCATTCTAAAACGCAGGTTCTGCAACAAGGGCAAATATTTGCATCAGGTTCTACTGTGAGTGGAGTACAGATACAGCAGAACACCCAAGCCACTTCAACTGGTAATGTACAATCACAGTCACAAGGGCAAACACAACAGACTCAGGTTCAACAAATAACACCACAACAAATTGCAACTCTAGTTAAAACATCTAGCGGTGCTTCTGCTTCTGGTTTAAGCGGAGTTAGTGTTGCCACTGGTGGGCAACCACAAACGGTGAATATGGCACTATCACAACTTAAACCAGGCGGACAAATAAAAGTTACAATGGCCAATCAATCTCAAATGCGTCAACTGCATATGCAGCAGCAGCTGGGTATTTCAAGGAAAATAAATCGTATGACCCAAATCGCTCCTGGAACTCAGATTAATGCAGCGGCAGTTGCATCGAATCAGCAAGGTAATAGTGGTAATGCGCAGTTAAATACTGGAGCATCAATAACAACACAAAAAAGTGCAGGAAGTGTGCAAGCTCAACTTTTACATATACAAAATTCCAAAGCGCTACCCAGTTCTGTTACAGTTCAACAAATTCAACAGGTAATGCGGCAAGGGCAACAAGGCAGTTTAACTACTACTGGCCTAGTATTAGGCAAGACAAGTGTTGGACGTGTTATACCAGTATCGGTAGCATCGCAGCCCAACCAACGACAAATACAGGTATATATTATAGAAAATGATATTATTTGACATTAAATATTAATGTATTTTTTTATTTATTTAGGTTGTTTCTGCAACATCTGCTCAAGCTATTGCAGCTAACAATATTCGCGCCCAAGTCGCTAGCGGTCAAATTAAAGTAGCACCTGGAAGCAGTCAATCACAAACACAACAAGCGCTGATTAATGCCATACAACAGCAAGCTGCTGCACAGCAAAGTCAACGGCATGCAAGTCCGGTACGTATACAGACTACGGCTAGTGGAAATTTAGTTGCTGTTGTTCAACAACAAGCTTTGCAACAACAACAAAACATTGTTGCATCTAATATGTCTGCAAACGTTGGTGCAAGTAATTCGGGACAAGAGGTTATGACAATAAATCAGGGCACAGGTAGCAACGTTAGTAGTACCCAACAACAAACAACTGTGCAACAACCAACTACACAACAAGTCCGAACGCTGGTGAAGAAAAAAATCATGCAAATACGTAGTGAAAAGGATTAAATCTACAATTACTTCATTTAAATTTATTTGGTTGGTTTTACAGCCAAAACTAAAAGAAATAAATTATTTAGAATTAATATTAAGAAAAAAGAATTTAAATTAATTTAAATGAGTTACTATTTAACAAAGAAACAATTTTGAAACAACAAATGTTAAAGTATTATTCTTAGTTGGTAGTCACTTAAATTTTAAACTAGTAATCTGTACATAGAAAAGATGTATAATTTTACTCCTTTCATTACCATGTTGAAAAAACATTTCCTTCTAAAAAATATTGAACGGGATATGAATACATAATATTTATTATTTATATATTTCGTACTAAAAAAAACAAAAAAAAAAAAATACTAAATAAAGAAAAGATAATATGAATTTGGTTTTTTAAATTTAAAATATTTCAGCTAATAAAAATGTTTAATGTATAGATTTTAAAATTGAGAATCCAGTACTATCTTGAATGGGTTCTTGGATTTTAAGCAACTTTTTATAATTTAAGAATCTGAATAATAACAATTTTTATATTATTCACACAAATCAACTTCTCTCTCGATAACTGTGAAGTAGCATACTTTTTTATTCATAACTTCTTTATTTAGCGGTTAAAAGGCTTACGCAGCCCACCATGTTTAAGATTAAAATTAAAAAAAAAAAATATCTTTGGTGGGTGTTGAGTAGCGTGTTTACTCGTTGAAATTATCGAGTGGCTCCAGGACGTAAACCAGACCGTTATTGAAAACTCGCGGGTGCAACAACAGGACAAAAGTTGAGAATTAGAATGGGATTTTGAATATAGGTGGGCAATGCAATCTTTCAGTTTTATTCAACCTGTAGTTGAGTAGAGGCAAAAATTTATGTGTATACACCTGAGGAATCTTCATATTATTTTATTATGCAGAAAATTAAATTTAACTAATTTAAGTATTGTTTAAATATTTATAGCATTTAACACATTTTTAAGATTTATATTAAGTTGTTGTAGCAATTATTGTATTAAAAAACAATTTTAAGAAAGATAATGAGAAAGAATACATAAGATAATATAAAATAGGAAAGAAGTTTGAACATATAAATCTTGTTGATATTTATTACTGTGTATTTCGTAACACATAATACATACACATCAAAAAATGTATATAAATTATTGCCTACCGCCGATTTTAAATGATGCAATAACTTTCAGTAGTAGTAGCTTTGAATAACACTGTTTATCCACCAGCAAATTTTCGAGTAAATGAGAACGTAACATCCCTGTCGAAATTTGAAAATGCAACATAGACTTTACTCGTACATTTTATTCCAAGTAAAATTGTGTTGATATGTGAATCAGCTGTTTTGGTTTGAATTTAAATTTTTGTATGGTTTATTTGCGCGGCACTGACAAAGCTATTCCATGAACATCTGTGTAAAGAGCGTAATTTGTTACTTTATTTGTGTTGCGCTCTCAGTTTGTATTTTACTTGTGTATTACTCGAGTTTTACTATGAGTAGCTGGTGGAACAGACCTAATATGAGATAGAGAATAGTATAAAACAGGAGATTGGCAACACTAGCCTAATTGGGTTAGGAGATAGTGCAATTTACAATAGAACATATGTGTGACGTGAAGGTGAATTGAGCGACAGATTGGGTACAAGACAATAACAGACAACTTAAGTCGTGATAGCTATACTCTAAAACAAGTTGGGTTAGAACATGTGTAGCCCACGAAGAAATCGTTTTTTTTCCCTGGATTTTCCCTCCATCTATTCTTATTAATGGTGCAGAGGAAAAAGAAAGAGAACTCTATTGGAAAAGGATACAAGGATTCTCACAATTTAAAATGCTGTTAGGGACTTACAACCTTTAACGCTTCAAAGATTGCATGGCACTAAGCATTATTACGGAATTATTGACCGGTCACTGTAGATTTTATAATCACCTATCAAAGTTAGAAATTCAATCCAACCCAGACTGCAGAGAAGAGAGATTACCTGCATATCATGTGCTTGGTGAGTACCCGGCACTGATGCACAAGCGGAAGAAACACCTAGGAGTGTATTTCATGGATCATAAAGATTCAAGACTAGGAAAGGTAGGCACTATATTATCTTTCATTAAAGAAATCGGACTTGGAGAAACACTCTAACCCGAGTAAGGGGCACAATAGATCTTTTAGGTCGCAGTGCACTTTTTTTCTAATAATAATTAATGGTATTCATTATTCTGTATAGATATGGGACTGTACTACTAGTTGGGTTTGGTGATGTAAGGTCAGTAATTTAGCTATCGTGAGTTGCTCTCGTTATTGTAACTGTTGGACAACGTAAAGGCACCTCGATAGATATCAAGACAAACACAATGGGCTGAAAGGATAGAAAAAGATTTACGCGGATTGCGTGTGAAATAAGTTAAGAGAAGAAAAAAATGAGCAGGAATGGTTGTTGAAGCGAGCCCGGCTAAAAAAGATCTTGTTAGAAAATACATAAACTGAAAGTGTCTTTTAATTTAAATACAGTGGATAACTAAATGATAAACAATACACCAATCAAAATTTCAGATTTAGATTTGAAGCTATTTTTATAAATATAAGTACACTTATATCTCGTTTAACAGCCACTTCGGACAAACTCAAACTGGATAAGGTCCAACCGAGTTTCTGACCGTGTTTCACTTAACTAAAAACACCTCATTTAACAGTCGCAAAACTCTCTTGAAAACTGTAAAAAGTGTAGAAGACGATAAATATGCCTTTTTTTAATGTGCTAATATGGTTTGATAATGAATGTGCAGAAAGGCTTTCTAGAAAAGATAGAAGGAAATAAAAATGTCATTTCTTGTTGGCGCATTGCGTTACCGTATTGGGACAAACTCGAGGGTGTAAAACTACCTTGATTCTTTGGCAAAGCTTAAAATGCTATTTAAAGGAAAACGTTGCAGTTGACTAAGATCCTTAAAGAAAGTAGCCCGCCCTTAAAGTGTTGAGTCGCCGCTATGCATGAGCTTGGCACAGACAAAGCAGATGAGAGGCTTTTTTATCGTCTTCCCCACAGCTGCGATACATGTAATTGAAGAGTGATTTAATTTTTTAGTATAATTTCCTAATCTGCAATGACCTGTGACTAAACGTACCACAAGACTGATATCTTTTCGGTCAAATACTCAATGAGTGTATTGGATTTAGTTTTACGGGAACGTGGTCAAATTACATACAGATGCATATAGCATAGACCAATCTCTTTGAATAATTACAACATGGTAAACCGGTAATTTATAGATCGCGTTTTGATTGTGATCACTACTCTTGTATGCAGAGTAACTGATGCAAAAGTAAGACTCAGTGCCTTATTGTGCAAAACTTTGTGAATGTTTTTCACTAAACATACTAGATAGATTCATGAATAAAATATTAACACTGCTCGGATGCAAGATGGTGCATGATGAATTGTGAAACAATACTTAATTAGGATATAGTTTTAATTAAAAAATTATATATCAGCTGTTTTATTGTCGTTATATTGACAAAAGTATTATTAGAATAAGACCATGTATGTGTATATATGGTATTGTTTCGTTATTATTTGTTATATTTATGACTTATTCAATATTATAAATTGAATGAGGCGTTGTTGTCGTTGTATTTCTACTAACTGTTGTGTTGGGTTAATGCCTTTGCTATGTACAATAAAATTTATTACAGCAAACTCTATATACTATATTTCACAAAACAATAATTAAAAAATAAAATTAAACGCCCTCTTCAAAACATTAAACTCGTTCCCTTCTATTGTGAAGTTATTCTATTTTCAAGTTTGTTTGTGATAAGTTTCCTAGACTACCACTCGAAAACATGGCGATACAAAAAATATTTTAAACGAAAAACAATATTATTTTATTAAACCAAGGATATAAATGACGATTTTTTCTATTTGAATATATAAACGGATAAAAATAATAATTAAACCTCGATCAGATGTCTTTATTTAATGTTTGTAATTGGTGGACAACTCAGTGTTCGGACTTGAATGAAAACTACGATGTCGCTAGTTTACTTTGTGCACGGTTCGGTCTGGAGGAAAGTGAAAAGGATTATGTGGTTGTTGGTTCACATGGTGGTCATTTGAGTATCTTTTATCCAACACTGGAACCAGATCGTATTGAAGAGAAAAACTGTTTTAAGCCTACGGATTTGTTGTTGGAAACAGTACTTGGAGAGCCAATTTTAGGTATTTTTGCTGGAAAGTTTAGCAGGTGAGGATGTTTAAATACACAGAAATTAATGAAATTAAATGATAACAGTATATTTTTGTTTATAGTAATATTCGAGATGAAAACAACAATCAATTAGCCGTTCTGCATTTGCGTTCAGTTGCCATTTATAACATTCAAACGGTAGGAGGTGTAGCAGAACATGGTACACAATTAAGTCTACAACAATTGACAGAGTACAAGTTCGAGCGGGGTGCATACAGTTTCTGTAAAGGACATTTTGGTCAAGTAAAGGGACGTGAATTTTTTTGTATTGTACATTTGGATGGTACACTTACATTTTACGAACAGGATGGAATATTATATGAATGTCATTTTCCAGGCCCACGTGCACTACCAACTCCGATAGCTTACTGCGAAAGTACGGATTGTTTTTATCGATTTAGTGCCGAATGGAACTTGGAATGCTATACGTAAGTTTTTTTTACTTTTTAGCAATTATAAAAATAAAGTGGATTTTCATAAACATTAATAGTAATTATCTTATGACAACAATTTTTTTATCTACAATAGAAATTGACTTAATCCATTTCTACGTATTCACAATTTTTTTAGAATTCTATCAATCAGGTGAAATTATTTGTCTGGGTATATCCTGTATCCATATAACAGTTTTGGTATGAATTCTGAATTCCTAAATATGTGAATTGTTTAGACTTTATAACTCGCACAAAATGTTATCTGCATTGATGGTACATATATAGGTATATTCTATAAGTTGAATTTCAAAAAGAAGACTCTATGTAAGTTGAGGTCAGTAAAATATAATGAAACGAGAGTCATTATTTATATTTTGAGCTTAATAATGAAACAATACTAAACAAT